CAACGGCTACCCCACCCTTCAAAACGAAACGCATTACTGCTTCACGGCAGAAATAGGCGGGTTAGTGGTACCTACCCGCGCAGACTCACAAAGTTCCTACCACCAGTAGAAGAGAGAAAAAATCAACAAGTAGGTAAACGAAGCTTCAATAATATTGACCAAAGTCATTGAAACGATAGGATACAATTAAGGACTATATAATTTTATTTCATCACTTGAGGCACTTGTATAGCTCGTGTAACTACCCCGACCCTTTCAACTCTAGACTCAACAACACAATGGGCCGTGAACTGGGACGAAAACCATTGCACGTCCGGCCCCTCAGTACTAAGCTATGCTATGCTACGCCTACATATGTAGAGAAAGCATCCACGATCAAGTCGCTTAGAAATCCAAAATAATGAGCACACAAATATATAACTAAATAAATTTAACATTCGTCAGTGTCTTAACAATTGGCTAGACATTACAATAGGACAGCTTCTCACGACACGTACATAATATTGTGTATAACATTATGTAGGTACCTCTGCACTCACACATTAACTCAATGATTCATTAACAATTTCTACACGTTTTTATAATCGATCATTAAACACATTTTCTGATGCTTGACTTTTTGTAAAATATTCGTTTACTCACTTGAGAAGAATGGTATTTTTCTGATACTGTCCCAATGCTCTGGGTATAGCCTTGTAGTCGTGTTTATCAGCTAAGCCTGGTAGAAGATCTTAAAAGTTAAAAGACAAAGAAGCATTGGGGCAAAGATAAGCTGCCAGAAATTTCACGGAAGTCGGTCCGACGGTTAATAAAAAGACACAGGAGTGCGGTCACCCAAGTAACTTCCTATTTGTTCGTGTCAAGGAACCTCATATTGGAAACTTATTGAAGTTTTTAAATAATAAATTATTCGAGGCTACTAATTGTAAAATGAATTTGATGAAGGACCCGACTTGCAGTTTCTACTAAAGCGAAACAAAGGTCCCCTCCTTCGTGGGAACGACGTATGTATAGATAAGAGGAGATACACAAGAGATACGTTAGTACGTTGTCTGCATTTAATTCATATAAAACTATTACTCTGATACCACCGTGGATAACGACATTTTGACAAATATTCATTTCGTGAAACCTGTATCTACTGCTGGCTTCTTTTGCCTTAAACAAATTCATGTACAGATTAGAAAACTTCAAAATGACTAATGGCTGACTTTTTTCCTATTTACAGACACGTTTTATGAGTAAACAAAACAAAAGCAAAATACACGTGCAAATGTCGTTAAAATATATTACATTGATTTTGAAGAAGCTGTTAATCTTAGAAGATGGGATAAACAGAGTATTGCTCTTTTTTTTGTTTTTTATAAATCACGCCTCGTTAGCTAGTCCCGTGATAAGTTCATAAAGAACTTGTGTTACAGGTACCAGATAACGGAAATAAATGTAAGATTTTTATTATACACATACATATATTTAATATACATCCATAACCCTGGAAAAGACATTTTATATTTAACATACAAATATCTTCCCTTGGCGGGATTCGAACCCGCGACCCCCTTGTGTAGTGACCATGTCACTTACCACTACACCAGACGGCCGTTTACACGTACATTTTAGTTTTCAGTCAAGCTACAGTCCCCATTGCCGTTAATTGGGAATAATTCGACTAAACAAGACTAGAGTATAATTTTTAATAATTTATTTTTATAGAACTCGTGTTTCCTTTGAATGGCCCGTCTACCTTCTAGTGAAGCAAAGTGGCGTGCTGAACGCAATTGAGATTAGTCTTAGCGTTTCCGGCACCATTCACACTGTGCAATAAACACCTCAAAATATTCTTTCTTTATCTGTTATTATGAAAACTTGAACTATGACGCATTGGAAATAAATTAAAGGTTTTACAAAACCACATTCCGGGCGGGTGCCGTCACCTGCGAATCAAGGAAAAAATATAATTGAACCACGCGGAGTGCAATCGTGTACAAATTACCTGTAAATCACTTTAAGTACAGTCGTTCTATGCGTTCCGTGTAGAGGCATGCACGACTAGATACAAACATCTTAGATTAGATATAGCCTGTCTATTTCTGCCGCGATGCAGCCTCTCGTACCACTTTGAAGGGACAGGCGCATTACAATACAAATTGAGACTTCGGCTGAAGACTTTGACATTGATATCCATGCACCGGAAACTATTTGACTCGCGTTTTCCATTAAGCAAGCTACATTAACGTTTTTAGCCAGTTCAGCTACTTAGGCGATGTGATTATTTACGTTTACTCTACTTCTACTTCTACTTCCGAGGGGCTCGTGTGGCTATTATCCAATCCCAGCCCCACGGGAGAGCCCATGACCGCACTCCCACGTTATTGAAGAAGGAAAAATATCCGGGCTGTCCATCTATGCATTTTTTATTTTTAATGCTTAGATGGGTGGACGAGCTCACAGCCCACCTGGTGTTAGGTGGTTACTGGAGCCCATACACATCTACTACGTAAATGCGCCACCCACCTTGACATATAAGTTCTAAGGTCTCAAGTATAGTTACAACGGCTGCCCTACTCTTCAAACCGAAACGCATTACTGCTTCACGGCAGAAATAGGCAGGTTAGCGGTACCTACCTGCGCGGACTCGCAAGAGGTCCTACCACCAGTAATTACGCAAATTATAATTTTGCGGGTTTGATTTTTATTACACGATGTTATTCCTTCACGAACACCGGTGCATCGCTCAACACGAATGCACCGGACGTCTTATCCCTTAGGCGACGACAACTTCAAATAATTAATAAAAGCAATTCGTCTGATCTTTAGTGGGACAACAATCATACAAGCCGTCGTAAGAATACGTGATACAGCATCGTGCGTTGTGTGAGTGCAGCTCGCGGCGCTGATGCAACGGCTGCACAAGGTCGCACATAATGCCGCGCGATTTACCTGTTCGCTCCAAGTACTTAGGTACTTATCACGCTCGTGGCTCGGCGACGTCACGCGCGCCGGTGTCTTGAGGGCCGCGGATTTGGCACGGTACACGGAAACCAACAAGTTTTTTTTTTATTGTTGCTTAGATGGGTGGACGAGCTCACAGCCCACTTGGTGTTAAGTGGTTACTGGAACCCATATACATCTACAACGTAATGCGTCACCCACCTTGAGATATAAGTTCTAAGATCTCAGTATAGTTACAACGGCTGCCCCACCCTTCGAACCGAAACGCATTACTGCTTCACGGCAGAAATCGTTGGGTTTGTTGTTGGGTTGTTTGGGTGGAAATCGTTGTAATCAGGCGTCAGCTGATGATAAGAGGTTACTAGAGTTCAGAGACGTAACACTGTTCCCAAATAATTTGCTCATAAAGAAAAATAAAACATTGATAGTATTAATTAGAATATTTAAGTATTTAATTTATAATAAGCTGACGTAACCACGGTTCGTAAACAATTACTTAATTATACAGTTTTTTTTTTGTTTTTATATAAAGCAATTGTTTTTTTTTGTATATATATGACGTCACAGACAAAGATCATACCGACGTGATAAAAAGCCTTACCCAGCACATTGCCTTCCATCCCCTGTTAGTTTAATGGGTAATGACTCGGACTGAGATTTGGGATTTTAAAATGAGATGTTTAACATATTGTGTGTTTATGGCCTACCTATTCTCGTCACGCACAAGCCACATTGGGTTTTGGTTCTGTAGGATTATACTTAGGTAGATACTCTAAGCACTTAAAATAGTGTATATATAGTTATAGGTACGTATTTATACTGGTGGTAGGACCTCTTGTGAGTCCGCGCGGGTAGGTACCACTAACCTGCCTATTTCTGCCGTGAAGCAGTAATGCGTTTCGGTTTGAAGGGTGGGCCAGCTGTTGTAACTATACTGAGACCTTAGAACTTAATATCTCAAGGTGGGTGGCGCATTTACTTTGTAGATGTCTATGGGCTCCAGTAACCACTTAACACCAGGTGGACTGTGAGCTCGTCCACCTATCTAAGCTATAAAAAAATTTATATTTATTTAATTTGGTTAATAAATATCTACAGATTTGAATGCGATGTCCAAAAGCAAGTCAAGTCATCCAGCACGTGCGTAAAACTGTCAGTTAAACAAATTTGATCTGCATTAGTAACTACGTGACAAAATTGTGTATATTATTTAATTTTGAACACGTAGCGTTAGATAAAATGTAATTGCAATCGTAAAAATCGGAACGGCTTCGTCAGCAACGCGTGCACGACCTATCCGATGGTAAGATGGCGGGCGTGGTGACGTCACAGAACGAGGCACTCCTGCGCCTTCAAGCGAGATCTTGAGACGCTTGAGGTCGAAATTTAAATTTAAACTGTCATTTTATTAATAAACAATCTTTGAAATTCACCCGTACCGACCAGGTGTAAGCACTGATGGGCATAATTCACATGCATTCAATATTAAAGAAAATATTAAGTCAAATATAAGCAGTGAATTTGAAACTCTGTATAAATAAAAGTCTTTTTTTAATATAAAATAATTAAAATACTTTATTTCATAAATGAAACCAACTTAAGACTAGTATTCTGTTATTTTAATTATATTTTTTTCATTTTAACTATATTTTGATGAAAAGGTGTAAATAAAAATGATTATTTTTTGCATGCATGTATTTTTTTTCTTATGTTTTTGTACCCATAGTTATCTTTGGCATATGGAGACATTTGTTATATATTCAGTATAGGGACGGAATTATTACATAACGCAATTCCTAAAAATATGTATTTCATAAACATACTTATAATATATTAGCATTATAGATCATACTTTGAGACTCTTCGGTAACTTAATATTAACGCACCAAATCGAAGAGATTCCTGAACGAAAACAGAGAATTAGACAGTACACTAACTTTAATACACTTCCTTTGCATAAAAAAAACTAAAGGTAAATAATTTCGCTTTGCTTAAAATTCATTACATAGGTACATTATTTAAATATATTATGGTAACTATTTTTTTTAAATTTAGAATCTAACAAAATGGCCGATATTTCAAAATGGCCGATATTTCAAAATGCAGACTTACATATCAATAGATTGTGCATTTGTTTAAATATTGACGCTTTAGAAAGTGCCTCTGCGCAACATGAATGTCGAAATTTTTATAATTCTGCTCACACACACACACACAAGGAGGTTGCGTAAAAATTAACATACGGACTGTTCAAGCGACACACCTCACAGCTTACACAACCGACCTCGATCCATGGGCACCATGAGCCGCCAATATTAATCAGAACCACTACACTAACAGTCCTTCATATAAAAAACAGATCATGGAGTTCTGGCGATGGAAAAAACCAAAATACAATGATCTAAAGCTGTATTGATCATCACTATCATAGAGGTCTATGTTGTTTGGATTTAAACCAAATAGTTAAGAACCGTGAATGATAAAACTTTTCATACAACGCTTAGATCTATGTTACTTGGTCACTAGCAACGTCAAACATTCAATGAACCGTGACGCTAGTCAGCGTTCTAATAATTGACGGGTCAATTCGAATTGGATGCTACATTTGAGGTAGAATTTTTCTCATGGACCTCTGCTGGTATGTGCTAACATATTTCGAAACTTGAGCTTAAGAATGGAGTCAAGGAGAATTGTCAATTCTATTGATGTTTCATGCGCTGTACATCTCGCAGAAGCAGAGGCTATTCTAAGTCACCAGTAGTTCTGTGGAAACCGTCGATTAAATATAATATCTTAAATAAATTAAATTTATCTTTTAGTACTTTAACTAACTTAGGGTCTTTTAACAAAACTATAATCATGATATAATGACATTCCAACGGTAACAGATATGTGAAAGTTTCGAGTGTGTGATATAATCGTAGTACATTGCTCGCTGAATGCGTTCTAAATAAACAAAACTTTCAAACCACGCAGCAGTGGATTATGAAACAAAACGTACCATCGGTACTCGCGTTCAAACAGTTTTCACTATTATAAGTGTTTATCTTTCGGAACTAGAAGGTTGTATATACGAATTTCGAAGTTGTAATGTATGTTTTATTTTCAAAGAAAGAATGTTTGTTTTTGAATGAAACAGCAAGCCTTATGAAGAGTTTTTCAACAATTTAAAGATAAAAGAGTATCAGTCGAAGGAGGTTATCGCATACTAATTAAACTAAGATGATTCTCATTCGCAGCAACATATCATTAACTTCTAAAAACGAGATTCCATATTCTTAATACCATTTAGACGTATCTATTCTCGAAACATACAAAAACGGACTCTATACGTCGTGCTGTAAGCTTCAATTTCTTGAAAATTTATTAATGACCACGCAAATGTCAGAATTTTTTTGATACAAACCCGGAACATCCAACTTTCATTAGAGACGTCATTAAAATGTAATTTATTTGAAATCGTTTCTAACGACGGAAATTAATAGTTAATTAATTTATGAGCGTAACATAGAGGTGGGGGCGTGAGTTCACAGTTACTCACAGTTTATTGAGTCATATCGTTATGAGTCACTCAAATAAAAAGGATACAAATTGAACCCACTCAAGATTCAACCCGTGACCCTTTGGCAGTAATTACATCTAACAATAAGACAGCTTGCCTTAAAGCTTTTTAGGAAAACCTTCCTACGAAATAAAGATTTCTAAAATTCCTTCCACTCAAGGAAATGAACTTTACTTCAACGAAAAAAAAAAACATTTGACATTCGTTATGTTAACAAAATGTCCTTTCGAAATATTTCGATAATACAATATGGACGAAAAAACCTCAACTTAACTACAATTAAAATTGAAATAAAATTTAAAAATATATTAAATAATCAACTAAAATATTTACCTCTCCGGCATCTAGCCAACGATCGTGTCGTATAGAAAAAAAAAACATAAACGATCCTCAAGGCGTCACACGAACAAAACCCTTCCTCCTCGGTAATAAGGCACAAAATCGGCGGTACAATTTAATACTAGCTTAGTATTTGATACTAGCATTCGGTTTCACCTTCCTTCCGCTCGTGGATGTAGTGTTCCACCTCTCGCAGCGAGTGAAACAGTCTCCAGGCCAGCACGACGCCTGCTATTTCCACAAGCGATATCAGAAGCGACGCTCCGGCGACCGAAGAGCTGATGATTTTGGTGTAGACGGATGCGACCTTGGCACAGCCGAGACGCTCGTTGGCTTCCTTGTCGGTGAAGTCGCAGGAGGCCCGGTAGTAGCTGTCCAGGCAGCACGTCAGGGGCAGATCGTTTCTCCAGCTCCGATAGTCCCTGGCGTCGTTCGCACCGCAACACCTCAGTTTCCTTTCAATCCTCCCGAACGCTTTGAACACGTCAGGATTCGACTGGGAGTTGTAGTAGCCGTCGTAGACAGTGTCCTTGATGAAGCGGTCTGTGTCTTCTCCGTCCACAAACACGAAGATTAACGTGGCTGCGATCGCTTGTCCAACGATGATGAGGATCAGGAAGATCCCGTAGATGCCCAGAAGTCCCCGGCTCTCTTTGTTAGCGCCGCACCATCCGCAAAACGCCACCATCATAACAAACAGACCCAACAGGATGAAAAGCCATGGCGCGACCTGTGGCCAGTAGACGCGGTAGTCCAGCAAGTAATGGTTGCTGTTCCTGAGACTGACGAACTCGGCTAATTGCACAAAGAACCATATCCCGGTCGCGGCGGTGACTAGACCGAAAACAGCGTAGATCACATTGACAACGTACAACACTCCCTTGATAAGTTCCTCCTTGGACATTTTGATTTCGTTCGTATCGTCCGCGCGCTTAGATCGTTGTCGACAAAATGAGAGGTGCAGTCGTTATGCAAGTAGTTTTATAAACTTGGTCGCCGCGCCTAAACGTTGCCGTGCAATAAGGCCGGCCACGAACTTACATTCGCCGAAACTAATATTGACATTTTCCTGAAAATAAAAATCCACTTGTATTTTAACAATAACATACTTATGTTGCGTAATGCGTAGCGTAATAATCAGAAGAGTCTTGACATCAACTCGTAAACCGCATTCACGTATTTTCAAGTAATTTAATTAATTATAGTAATGTATTTGTTGTTTGACGAATAATAAGAAAAGTTATGATTCATGTTGTATTCGATGTTGGCAGTCAGGAAGTTTAATAATTATTGGAAGATAATAATTTAAATAAGTTTGTTGTTCTATGTTTCTGATGATTTTCGCTTTTAATTAACAGTAAATTATTTTCTGAAATCAAACTTTGTTGTTGTACATTATTGAAAGACGTCATATACTTTACGTAAAACATTTTCTGTAACAACAAAGATTGGTCGGACCAATTCGTCCGGGCTCATAAAATATTTTCCACGATCACCAATAAGCATAGTAGTAGCTAAAAGAATTTATGTGATATAATTATTTTTTTTTATTTCTTATACGCTATTATATTATAATACAATGTATATATTTCCTAGAAATACAAAGCCTGAAACAAAAGCGTAAGAGAGAAATAAGTGGTCTACAAACGGGCCTTATCTCGCATGACGTTTTCGTGAGAAAATTAATTCCATTGTATTTCCTGTACGAAAATATCAAATACTCTTAATGAGGAAATCCAGTTAAATTAAATTAATTACCCATTGTTATTTTCAGACCGTTTTATTACATGATAAATATTTATCCGCAATATATTAGACATATAGAATGAAGATTCGGAAGGACTTTTTCCAACCTATGCTAGTAGCCTCGAAGGGTTATCCTAGATTTTCCGATCGATTTGATGAGCTCACGGAGCCCTAACCTGGCGAATGTCCTAACACAAACCCTAGTAAGAGCAGTGCTTCGCAGAATCTACCGCCGGATCGGATCGCGATCTACTGAGAAGATCCGGCAAGAAACTCAGTGGGCTGCGTCTGGAGGCTAACTAAAAATACCCTTATGATTTATTCTTTTAAAGAAGACAAGCAAGCGCTCTGCCTGATACGAAAACGTCAGAGTCACAGTAACAGCCGCAACTCCCTCCTCTCAAACTATCATTGGAAGAAATGCATGAATAATACTATCATGTTACTCTAGAATTTCATGCCCAGTTTCAACCTCCCTGAGAACTCTTCCAACTTTCAGAAATCAGGTTTATATTCTGCCAATTTCGGTTCAGTTTGTGAGCTATACACATTTCTTATATTCCTACAGTAAATGAATTATCATTCTGTATAAATGCCTCTTAATTGAGACTCATTAAAATAAACGAATATTAAACTAATTGCAGTAACCGGTAATTAAAGTGACTATTGCATTATTTCAGATTATTATATTATAATTATTATACAATTTCTACATAGTTATTGTCTGCTCTATCCATTGTACCTTCGTGTAATAGAAATTCTTTCCTTTACAATCTTATGAATAAATTTTTACACTATTTAAACAGTGACATTTCATTGATCGACATTTGCGCCAAATTCTCGGCAGTGAGGTGATAATAAGGTTTTCAGATCCTGTAATGACTTACAGGAGAGAGAAGCTCATAATTTTGAGTCGCATAGAAGGTAAGCGCGCCGTGGGCAGAACACCAGCTAGATGGTCATATTTGGTTAAGGGAGTGGATTGGTGGTACCACGCGGTCTGTGCCACCCATGACCAAACACTGTTGAGGAAAATCACATGTGGTCGCGATCCTCAACAGTGAGGGAACGATGAAGAAAAATAAGAATGACTTACCATTAAGTAGGTCGTAATCGTGTCTGCGCGGCTACCCCGAAATAAATCCATTAACTCGTTCTCATTATTCATTACACTTTAACAATTTCTGGCTCTTCAAATAGTTTATGTTACGGAAGGCTGATAATGTTTAATGACGTCTACTAGGTGAGATCCATAAGCAATCTTCATATTTCCAAGTTATAACTCAATATTGACTTCACAATCCTGACGGTATATGTCAAGCCTAATGTTGGACCTTATAGTACGTTCCGCGCATAACGTACCTTATCTGTGACACACTTTCAGGTACTACAAATAAAGCACTATTATTTACTTTGTGTTTGCCTGTGAATTTTTTTATGTTGTTACGTAACATATTGATGGTCTAGAGGTAGCTTCATTTAGCACGTCCTCAAATTTCTTGTTTAGCTGCAGGAATGTAAGAATTCATGATTTAACGTAATATATTGCGTCTTCAGTTAAAATTTAACTTAACAATGTTTGACGTAGAGTACAACATTTACTATACTCGTTATCTCTATATATAAAAATGAATTGCTGTTCGTTAGTCTCGCTAAAACTCGAGAACGGCTGGACCGATTTGGCTAATTTTGGTCTTGAATTATTTGTGGAAGTCCAGAAAAGGTTTAAAAGGTAGATAAATATTAAACAGCTGGGTCAGGTCAACGACATCTGAATATAAATACGAATTTGTTGTGACCCTTAAATTTTTCTCTAAATGACCAGAGTTTTTTTTTGTTACTGTTGTTGTTGTTGTTGAAGCCCATGGACATCTACAACGTAAATGCCGCCACCCATCTCGAGACATGAGTTGTAAGGTTTCAGTTTTAATAGTACAATGGCTGCCCTACCCTTTAAACCAAAACGCATTACTGCTTCACGGCAGAAATAGGTATAAGGTATAATAAGACGTCCTGCCACCAGTAAAATTATGTACATTACAAATAGCATTGATTATTATGTACCTGGTTGTTCGGTTTTAAATATATGTGGCTATTCATTTATTACTTCAGGTTAGCTGCCATACATACCGAGAGAAACTCACAATATGTTGCAGTCGACAATTCGACCTGATTATGGGTTGCGATGGCCACTTAGTACCAGTCAAGGCGTGCGCTCGACTACCGAGGCCAATATCAAACCATAAAGAAACTGCACACAAAGATTAAAAAAATAGATTTTATTGTAAGCCTTCTGTTAGTGCCTTATTTTGTTACCATAATGCAGCATTATGTGAATTAATATCTAAAGACTTATTGATTTATTTTTACAAAAATATAAAGTTTTCCTCAGAAATTTGTATTGTATTTTTTTCTATGTATTAAATATACTTTTCTACAGAAGTTCCATTTACCTAAATCGATAAGAAATTGTGAATAAAATTACCACAAGAAAAGTACAGATATGACATTTCTCTTACAATCAAATTATTTCTAGTATAAATACTTGCCTGAGCACCTAAGGCAACCACAAACTGTCATGAATGGGTCTCACTTCATAGAAAGCTATCAGTTTAGGTTGACGGTTTTTGTAAAAACCATTGTTTCTTTTAAAAATAGAAAAATTTAACTTACTAAAATCGTGGAATAATGACAGATTGCCGCACAAAAATGTACAACCAGTAAAAATGCAAGTATTTCATAACTAAATTTTATTAATAACCTTAAACTAATCGTTAGCGGTAGACCTTACTACTCATCACAACATGAGTCTTCTACTTAAAATTACGTCACACAAAACACATACATACACAAAAAATCTTTAACAATCTGTGATTTACAAAATTATCATCACAACATCTCATATTATTAGCAAAAATAACACTTTTGTAAGTGGTGATAATGGTGAATTTTGCTTGAATACATTCGACACATACTACAGTTTAAACCGCTTTACAACTTGTTTACTAAAGACATATTTACATACATACGTCGTGTATTAGAGAGAAAATGCTGTTTACATAATGCTCATGTCCAGTTCGTGGCTTGCGCAAGCTTCCGAAAGCTTGTGAGCTTTAGAAAATAGGTAGATACCGAAAGCACATATACACAATCATTTTGTGTTCTTTCACATGAAACACATTAGAAATATATCTGCCCTAAAATATTGAAAATACAACGTTTTGAGTTTACAAATAGTAAAAATTTGAGGTAACAATGAAATAAACACAAATTGAAACATTTCTTCAAAGTGATTTGTTAATGCATTTACAATATTGAAATGTTGTGAATTAATTATTAATTAGTCTATTGGTGGTTGTTTAATATCTTTGGCATTCTATCCAAATTTTTGAACTTTTGCGTAACATACCTTTCTATATGACACATATAGAAATTTATCACATCATTATTTAAATTCTCAAGTAACTTTTCAATAAAAGAAATCTTGAGACTTATCCAGTCTCTCGACGTAAATAAATTAAAGCAAAACAGATTGAACCGAACAACTTTTACTGAAGTCTCCATAAGGAGATTGTCGCAGAAAAGTTATTTGATTCAATATACAAACATCGATCCAAGATCACTCGTTCAAACCCGGAACTCCAATGAATCATCACTAAGTCAAAACCAATGAACACTGGTTACGTAGTCCTTATAGTAACACCTTCTTGCTCTCCGCTTCGTACTGAGCGACTAACACTTTGGGATGATGTCGATTCTTCAGTTTCCTCAGGAGCGCAATCATCACAAACAAATTGATGATGCCAATAAGCGCTATGAAGGCGGACGTCGCAGAGAATGCCTTTATCACAATGCTCGTGTACTCGGAGGCGACCTTGGAGCAGCCGTGGCGACTGTTGGCCAGCGAGTTGGAGAAGTCGCAGATGATGTTGTAGGTCCCGATCCAGCCGTGGTAGTAGGTGTCGCAGCACGAGACCGGGAACTCGTTCCTCTTGTTGATGTAGTCACGCGGACTCATGGCCCCGCAGCATTGCAATCTCTTCTCCATGACGCCGAAAGCGGATTCTATGCCGTGGTCGTTCTGAGCGTGGATGAACGCGTCCCATATCGTGTCGCCGACGAAACTCGCCGTCCCATCAGAGTCGGCCAGCGTCAAGGCAATTATCGCGATCACAATGAGCAGCAACACCGAAACTGATTGGAATATAATGTGCGTTACCAGCAGTCCTTTGCTGCGCTTGCTGGCGCCGGCGAACCCGCAGCACGCCGTGAACATTGCCATCAAGGCCACTATACAAAACACCCATGGTATCGCCTGAGGCCAGTACACGTTGTAGTCTAAGAGGTAGTGATTTGTGTTCCGAAGGGAGGTGATGCTGACTACCTCGACGAAGAACCATATCGAGGCACAGGCGAGGCCGAGGCTCAGGAGCATCTGCAGCGTGTTTAGAACGTACGTGGTCGCGGTGAGGACGGTGGAGGCCATGGCGACGTGTGCGCGCGACGACAATTCACAATGAAATAGCGTCGTGCGCGCGATTCCACTGTTTTATAAGCTGCGCTTAGTTTGAAGGACGCGTGGCGATCCACGCCGTGAATCACCGATAGGCTTTCCGCATATACTAAGATTTTATTAATTCCGAGAAATACACTGTATGTACCGAGCAAATGAATGAAACAATTAAGGTACGTCGGGAGATTGAACTGGAAACGCTAAACGAAATCTTGTATACGACATATTTATTGGCGGTTAGGCGCAGTGTAGTCTTACAATTACATACTACAGATTAGAACAACGCGCTTCAGATTGAAATGTAAATTAATCTTTGTTTTAATGCAGTTAGGGCTGTGACTTCATTGCAATGTCATTCACATTGCAATAGCTTTCCACCCAGGCTACTGTTTGAGGTACCTTATAAAGTCGACTGTTAAAGGCAACGCCACACTGTAAGTTAAGAGCTTCGATCAGACAAACGCGAGCAATATGCTGAGTAGTTTAAAAAACTTAAGCTTTAATTATTATGTTGTTCTAAACATTTATGACTCACTACATTTTAATACCATATTATTTAACAGCGCCAGCGCCGGTATATCGGAAACTAATTCGATATAGATATCGTGGTAAGCCACCCATTAAACTATTGCGTTATTAATTATTTTTTAATGACGAAATCCATCCACCTTGAGACGTGTGATTGAAGTTTATCTGGTAACGGGAAGCCGGAAGGCGTGCCTGTTCGGCGGCGCTCACAAAATTAGAACGAGCTGTTTTAGGGTAGAAACAGCCACATGGGTTTTTTTTTTGGTCAAAAGGAAATCGCCGGACTCCCACCCTCCACTGGGTATGTCGGAATCGAACCGACTAAAACCTCCTGTCGCTCAACAACCAGAATCCAAACCTCGCATGAGACAGAACTCATGAAAAGGCAAAGGGGGGAGAGTGAAGCGTTTAGTGCGGAGCACATCTCTCCCATCACCCTCCCCCTCGGGACGCCGGACCGGCGGTCATCGGCGCCACGACCACCAGCGCTCTTGGTCGGCAGGCTATCCGGAGCCCGCCCAGATGGCGCCGGTTAGAATGGGTTATCCTACGGAATAAGCCACAAAGGTGGGACAACCGGTAATATTTATTATGTTTTACATTTTGAAACATTCAATCTGAGGACTGTTAATCAAATATGATGCTTAGAAAACCATTCAGCCAGCATTTTCTTGGTACACTTGCCTCGACTGACTTGTGGACAAATGGAGTATTCCAAGATCAATCTGAGCGTGAAACATATTTGGTTAACGAGGTCTGGGTGTTCTGGTTTCGTATGTCATTCCGGAGCAAATCCTGCGCATACAATATATAACCAATTATTCTAAAGATTAGATTATCAAATAAAGGTAATGAATAACGAAGCTGAAACTTAGTTCCTTTAGACAAAGAGCAATACCACACTTGGACGGGAACACGTGTTTGCTTAGCGGCAGCGGCAGGCGGCGCGGGGCAGTTGGTGTTCGACCATGTTTTTGAGGCCAAACAATTACCGATTTTACTTATTACTGTTCATTATCTAGATGTAAATAACTTAAATGCGATGCACCGGTGTTCGAACCCCAGGCGGGTAGCAATTTTTGTAATGAAATACGCACTCAACAAATGTTCACGATTGACTTCCACGGTGAAGGAATAACATCGTGTAATAAAAATCAAACCCGCAAAATTATTATTTGCGTAATTACTGGTGGTATGAGCTCATGTGAGTCCGCACGGGTCGGTACCACCACCCTGCCTATTTCTGCCTTGAATCAGTAATGCGTTTCGGTTTGAAGGGTGGGGCAGCCGTTGTAACTTAAAAAAAATGACGCTATCCAACTAGAAATATGAGTTCTAAGTCTCAGTTTTACGGTAAAACGGTTGCCCCATCTTTCAAACCAAATCTTACTCGCTTACTGCTTCACAGACAGAAATAGAAAGGGCGGTGGTACCTACCCATGCGAGCCCAAATCATCCTTATTTTATTTAATTAGGCTCCCGGGTAACTTGCTCGAGTCCAATCATATCCCAAAAGATGGTTGAACATCAGTAAAGTATTTCAACAAAACAAACAAAACAAAAGACCTCAAGGTTCAAAGCGACGCAAATTTTTTGCCCAATAAGCTGTGACTCAATTCAAAAATAAATATTTTCAAACGTCGTGTGGTGCCAGCGGACCACAGTAGCATCACCCCATATCTTCCCGGGGCTGTAGGAGCCGATAGAGAGAGTGCGATAAAGACTCTTCTAGTCTAATGGATAAAATTCGCTCGCACTAAATTCTTATTACCTCTTAACCTATGATCTAAAAAAAATCCTAATTAGCGCATCAAAAAACGCGACTGTGTCGTTGTACAAATCCCAAACGCAAATACAACATTTCTAATTACAAAAATTCTGCCAACAGAGCAATGTCCGCTCGGTGGAAGATCTTCCCTTTTCGTGATCCCTATACTATTAGTTATTATTTTATTACTAGTGGTAGGACCTCTTGTGAATCCGCAAGGGTAGGTACCACCACCCCACCTATTTCTGCCGTGAAGCAGTAATGCGTTTCGGTTTGAAGGGCGGGGTAACCGTTGTAACTATACTGAGACCTTAGAACTTATATCTCAAGGTGGGTGGCGCGTTTACTAGTTACTAGCATTTAGTATCTATGGGCTCCAGTAACCATTTAACACCAGGTGGGCTGTGAGCTCGCTCGTCTACCCACGTAAGCAATAAAAAATAAATACTAGATAGTAATGACGTGTATTGTGAGAGCACAGGAATGCTGATATCAGAATCCTACCTGCTCCTGCCACAAAACCGACATGTGTTCCGGTTTGACTCGCCGGCCGGGCGGCTGCTGAGAATTCGACCTAAAGTCCAAGGATGGGTGGTGACATTCATGTTGGGACACCTAAAGGCTCCTATATCCTATAACCACTTATTGACAGACGGACTAGGGGCTCACCAAAGGCAAGTAAAAAGACGTAAAATTGTCGAAGACTGTGTCGGTATTCGAACCCCGCAGGCGGGAAGCAATTTTTTAAATAAAATACGTACTTGACAGATGTTCACGAATGACTTCCACGGTGAAGAAATAGCATCGTGTAATAAAAATCAAACCCGCAAAATCGTGTCACAAGTTAAAACGGATTTTCATTATGAAGACCTACAAATCAACATGAATGTGGTAATGGCCTTATGAGCCCGCACGGCTATGTACCATCACCCTGCCTATTTCTGGCGTGAAGCAGTCATATTATTATGTGTGAGATGTGATTACGGTGTTTACGTTGTTGATGCCTATGGGCTCCAGTTACATCAGGTGGGTCATGAGCTCGTCCACCCATCTTGGCAATAAAAAAAAGAACTAATGTCCGTAATGATTAGTGCAAAGCATGTTGGGTACGGTGGCCACTTAATATCCAAATGGACTTTGAGCTTAGTTGCCTGTCCACGAATTTTGCCTTGATTTCGTAATTAGTAATTGTCATCATGGTCCAAGACCAAATAGCCAGTAATTGAGGAAACTATGACCTTCCGGTAAACAGCGTGATTGTTGAGCGATAATAATCGGGCCAGCAGGAATAACCCGAGTGTGATTTACGCGCTTCCCTTAATCAAGATCATCCATCCCAAGGTCCTGCATTGCCTGCACCTAACGCTCTTACTAAATCTGACCAGCAGATACGAGTAGGTACTATAATCCTGCCTATATCTGCTGCGCCGTGATAACACATACCCTTTTAACATCTTATTTTCTTACCTCATAAGGCGGGCACTTTATTCGCGTCGCGGACCCATAAGTGTATGATATCCGCTTAACATAAGGGCAGGTGAATTTAGCTCATTTATAAACAAAAGCAGAACTAAACAAGCTATGAGAAAAGAAACAAAACAACATAATTTTGTTTTTTTTTTATTATTAATAGATCAACAATAATTGACTAATTTAATCTTAGTACTTATTTCTATATTTACACAGTGACTACTAATTTACACATTTATATCTAAAAAATAACAAATCCTTCCAGGTCAGAGAACTCACTTATGTAAGCACAAAACTCAAAGGACCATACAACTACATGCTTTTTTTATTGTCTTTACAGACAGACGAGCATACGGCCCACCTGATGGTGAGTAATGGTAAGATGGTAGCCTACCAACATGCTTGATAACTAAAAACAAATATAATTAATAATTAAATCACAATTGAATAAATGCTGCACTGTTCGAGGTATTTCAGCCACTGCAACTCATTAGTTACATTTCAATTACAAAATGATTTGCTAATAAAAGGAAACCATCACTTGTCATCTAATAAGTTTAGCACAACAAAACGTTTTGTTTAGCCGTATTATTAACATAAACCCTGTATGGGCCTCCAACACTCAAAAACACAAGTTAGATATCATTACTGAAACCACCGGTACCAGCCCAGCCGAAATTATAACAAAATAATAATTACACAGATACATTGTACCACGAATGCAAAATTAAGCTAATACAATCAATGAATGTCATTACAACAACACTTTCTGACAATCAGCTTCAGTTTCGACACCAGGTTCCAATTTCTTGGTCTTCATCTTCATGGACAAGACCACAGCAATCAAAAACCCAATTACGCCAACGATCGCCACCACGACCGATCCCACAGACATTCCTTTGATGAAATATTCGGTGTATTTGTCCACAACGCCGTTACATCCGCTCAATTTGTTCGCGAAATGATCTGAGAAATCACAGGGCTTACCCGAATAGCAGCAAGATGCAGGGAAGTTGTTCCTTTTTGGCACATAGTCTCTGGGATAACTGACGCCGCAGCATCGCAACCGCTTTTCGAAGGAATTGTACGCGCCATCCTGGCTGTCTATACTGGTGTAGAAGACGTCCCACATTGTGCTTTTGAAGAATTCTGCGGTGTTAGGTCCCTCTGCGAGAGTAAGGGCGACGAGAGGAGCACCAACCAGCAACAATATGGACATCATTTGAAGTACCACGTACAGCAAAATCAGAGGTCGACTCTTCCTCTTCGAACCGCACAAGCCACATATGTCGGTCAGTATGGTCAAAATGGCCGCCATGAGAAAGACCCATGGGAGCACCTCGGGCCAGTTCAACGTCTGCTTCAGCTGGTAATGGATGGGGTTGCGCAGGGAGGTCAGGCTCACGACCTCAATGAAGGACCATATCGCTACACCACCGAGGACTGACGCGGACAGCACTTGTATGACATTGAATGCGCACAGGAAGACCGAGAGACACAACGAAGTCATGTTGGTCGCGGAACGATCGCTCACAATTAAATGATGTGTTTCGTCCGCAATTTGTTGTATTTATATTACGGCCAGTTGTATGGTGTTGATTCACTCGGTTTTATGGTGTATTTTTGACGTATGGGGAAATTTACGTATATACGCACGATATTGTTTCAGTGTTTTTATTTTTCATTGTTGTTTTGATAAATTTTTATAATTTAAATTTTTTGGTTCAATATCGTGGCCGATTCATTCCCACAATATGGCTACACAAGTGCACGTTATAATGAAATCATATTTCAATATAGTCACTTAGTGATAACTTATCTCTTAATTCCAATTAATATCCATACTATATGGCGCAGCATGCCCCCTTATAATGCAGCATAGGGAGCTCGAATGATAAGATTGGCATTGTTCTTGGACCGTAATTATTTCTTTATTTTGTAAAATGTACAGAACATGTATCTTGGGATGGTGGCTGGTGCCAGTAAACCGCTTTCCAATAAGTCAGCCATTCTGCAGACAACGATGTTGAGAATCTTTGCTATTTATATGGGTATTGGGAAAGAGTCCAGGATCCTTATGGTTCTATAGTCCTCTTCCTGCGAGAAGTACTGGATGCAGAAAAATGAAAACAATATTTTTTTACTATGATATCAAATTGCTGCAATTTACAATGGATGACGTACAATTATGTATGGCGTTTGCGTGTGGAGCATGATCGCAGGCGCGCTATTGTCACAAGGGCAGAAGGTCAACTACGTTTCCGCTCCGACGATCATTGTGTTCCAATTGACCATTGTCAAGGGCTCCGCAAAAAATATTTCACGTAAAATATATTATTGAGGATCATGACAAAAATATTTTAGGACTTTTTATGAAGTGTCATAGTAAAGGAGTGGAGGTCGATCCACGATCCACTGCACAGGGCCGCAGAGGACTCTGTGTAGCGGCCCACACAGCAACTATGCGAACAGATCTATAAGGTCTATTCACACAAAATATTCTAGTTTTCAGTGTAATCTTAGAATGTCTGTACTAGAAGAGTTGGGCATCAGTACAGATCTACCGTAACTTTTGCATATGGTACTTCAGCCATCAGATGAGGTCTAAATCATAAATCCATTCGTTTTTTGTACAAGAGCAGTGGAGTGTTTGACCCGCCTGATGGTTAACAGATAGAGTATCTCATCCCTTTCAAATTTCTCTTAAGAAGGATATGTCAAAGTATAGGAAAACCTATGGAGATGTCTTCATTCCACAGCCGATTTTAGTGGATGAAGATAGCGAAACTGATTACGAAAAACGCTCAGTGCTTGAAATTCCGGAGAGTACAGTTGGGCCTTGCTCCTATGGCGGGAGGAGGGAATGTAGAATAGAAACGAAATAGCTCATCCTATTCATATAGCATACAGCACTGACAAACACCTCGACAGCCAAGCCCCTCCGTATGCCCCGAGGTGCCGGACGATCCTTTGTGTACGTGACCAGAAACGTTATCAATTCCTGGGTTTTTTTGATGTAAACAATGTATTGTTTACCGAACATGAATGAACGTAGTCAAATGATTTGTCATTAAATGTGTAACTCCATTGAATCATTGTACACAAGTTTTCCCTGACAATATTATTGATGCATTATAGAGAACATAATAGTGCTTATCGCCTAACTGTTGAATGTCACACAGTTTTTTTTTTGTGGCTCAGATGGGTAGACGAGTACTGCTTCACGGCAGAAATAGGTGGGGTGGTGGTACCTACCCGTGCGGACTCACAAGAGGTCCTACCACCAGTGATTACGCAAACTATAATTTTGCGGGTTTGGTTTTTATTACACGATGTTATTCCTTCACCGTGGAAGTCAATCGTGAACACTAGTTAAGTACGTATTTCATTAGAAAAATTGGTACCCGTCTGCGGGATTCGAACACCGTTGCATCGCTCGATACAAATACCACGAACGTCTTATCCTTTAGGCCACGACGACTGTCACACAGATGGACATCAATTATTTGATTGTCTTGTTAATGACTTGGACTACTATACCATGGTACTGGTTCGATTCCCAGTCCATGTTAATATCTTAAGTTAGTGAAAACACATGAACTAAATTCTGTTTTCGTAATTTTATAGCGGAAGAGACGACTGCTATCCAATACGGCAGGCAGCTGAGCTTAAGCTAATTCTCAGGGACACGGCATACCAGATTACCCCTCTCCTGTTTCCCCCTATAATCACAACAGCAAAGATAAATCGAAGCGAGTTGGATCTGATGTATTTTCCATCGAGTCTGCCAGTCAGTAATCACCTAAAAGTCAATGTCAATGTCATGTTCATAGATACTGAATAAAAGAAAAGAACAAAACGCTGCGTCGTCGGCCCGATGTTACATCGCGTCTCTGACCGGACTTGAACACGTTACCCTAACTCCTCAACCGTTATTCCATGTTACATAATATTCATATAAAAGATTCATTATAACACGAAATAAACAATTAAGTAAATCGCAAAATAATAACATTTGTGACGTAATATCATTATAAACTTTGCTACAATACCTACCGTAAGAAATACGTAATGCTATCTGAATGACGTACCGTGTTCAATAATTGTGGTTTTCAAAACAAACAAATTAATTACAATAAATTTGAATAAAGTTTTTGTGGCGTTGCGTGTTGTGAGCCCACTCGCGACGGTACCACAGTCCGACTTATATTGTAACGTTTCCATCTAATCCTAATTTTATATATTTTTGGTAAATTAATAACGCTATCTCCAGATACTTGTTGATTCTAATTTCAGGTCTTGTGAAGATCTTTTTATTTTTTTATTGCTTAGCTGGGTGGACGAGCTCACAGCCCACCCGGTGTTAAGTGGTTACTGGAGCCCATAGACATCTACAACGTAAATGCGCCATCCACCTTGAGATATAAGTTCTAAGGTCTCAAGTATAGTTACAACGGATGTCCCACTCTTCAAACCGAAACGCATTACTGCTTCACGGCAGAAATAGGCAGGGTGGTGATACCTACCCGTACTGCCTACACACAAAAGGTCCTACCTCTGGTAATAAATCTACATCGCTCACGCACCACGGTATTCCGACAGCTGTCCTGCAAAGCAGGATTGGATGATCTCAAGAGAGTTGAAGTCTGTACGGACTGCCTGAGGGAATACTTCACTTGCATAGGTCAAGATCGGATGTGTGCAAGGTGACACTGTTACGAAGGTTTACTTCGCTTGTAGATCATGGGGTAGAGACGACCGAGTAAAAACCTGACTCGGTTGCGGACTGACTTGACTTGTGGACTGAATGTCATCTCATCAAGGTCGAGGATGACCCCAAAGTACTTGACCTTCGCCGCCCAAGTGGTAGGTTTTGGCAGCCTATAGCTTGGGCCTATAACTTGGCTAACAATCTTTTGATTGTTATAGCGGGAATAGAGCTACCACGCCTAATACGGCATAGGTTACGTCTGTGCTTTTCGTGGGGTTGATGTTGGTACGCCACTTCCGGAACTACTGTCCTAAATTGGTGGCTGCAATCTAGAGCTTACGATGGATGAACGACATCTTCCTACTCGAGTAGTAGATAGCCACATCATCCGCGAAGATGGATTGCTGGCGACTGGGGTATAACATTGAAATACAAAACTAAATAATAACAGGGAGAGAACGGAGCCTTGCTTAATTTTTTGTTGTTAGAGAATTGTGTATTCTGATAACATCCGCTTCTTTCTACACTGCAAGAAGATGAAGTTCGTCATAGCGGCATTTAAAATAGAAGCCAACGTAATTATCAGTTGGGCGAGTAAGTTTTTTAAAACGCGATGCGAAATGCGCCTTTTCCCTGCTTGTAGGTTTTCGATTAATTATTTGACTTTGGTTATGATAATGGGGGTAATGCGTGCGAGGGTGGCAGGCAATCTCTGCGCTCGACATACCTGTCGACTTATGCGGTGTATTCGGAGCCCCCGGTTTGAACAATGACGTTGCACTGCTCTTGCAGTCTATCGGCCAGTAACATTGGTTTCTCATCGCCATCGAAAACTGGGCGTTGGCCTGAGAGGTGTAGCAAGAGCATAGTGACAATAGTTACAGAATTAAGGGTCCTAACTAGTCGCCTAGTTGGAATCCTAAATAAATTTCCCACTTTGTATATCGCGCTTCGTCTAGTCAAGACTTGGCATTCCACAGTAGACGTCGCATCCGCATCCGTTTTGATAGAAACCTGAACTGCCGCGTTCCTTACTCTAAGGAGGTTCTTAAGCTCGGGAGACAGTATTAAGGTTGATATTTAGAGCCCATGGCTGCCATCATGCTTGGCGCGTAGGTGAGCCAAAGCCGTCGTGTATTCCGGTTTGAAAGGTGAAGCAGCCTTTTTATGTTACAACAAAATCGAGACTTTGACTACACGTCTCAGAGCGTCACATTCCCGATGCGATGTCCGTGGATTCCGATAATTACTTCACACCAGGAGGGCGTGAGGAGGGCTATCACCATCAATCTAATAAATAAACGAGAAATCCCCAGCGTCTTCTTATCTACATAATAAACATAAAATATATATTGTCCTTGTAAGCAGCCGAGCATACCGTCCACCTGATGGTGAGTGGTTACCGTCGCCCATGGACTTCTGCAATGCCGGGGGCAGAGCCAAGCCGCAGCATACCGCTTAATACTCTCCACAAGCCTCGTTTGAAGAAGGACATGTCATAGCGCTCGGGAAACACCGTGGAGGGGAGCTCACTCCATAGCCGGATGGTACGTGGCAAAAAAGACCTCTGGAAATGCACTGTCGATGAATGCACCGGTTCCACATAATATGGATGAGCTCTGCTCCGATGGCGGGAGGTGCGATGATAAAAAGGAGATGAGGGTATCATCTCAAGCAATTCCATAAAAATAACAATTCCAATATGACACCCAATAAATTTTATTTCAAGTCATGAGTCATTCAACAACGCCCAAGGTTCAGTTTCATTCATCCGTTCGAATTTTCTCAGAAAAACGAAGTAGCTCGTCGCAGTTGGTTGTCGTTTATGAGAATTGACGTTC